CTGGATCTCTCTGAGAGCCCAGCAGAGGCAGAAGAGTACGAGGAGGAGGTAGCTAACAGGAGCCTGGGGTCCCGTAACCAAGCTCTGGGACTGAGATGAACCGAGGAAATGATGCAACAGCCCTGCCTCTGCCATCGCCACCAGCAGCAAGCTCAAATATAGCAGCACCTCCCTGCAGCCCAGATTCCAGCCAAAGGAACTGGGAGGAGGAGGTGGTGACCCTCCCCTGCGAAATCCATGGTCCCCAAAGGCTGCCCTGGGACCTGTGCACAGTGTGCCAATCTGGCTGAGGTCCAAACTCAGCAGAAATCCCGTAGAGATGGAGAAGAGAACCACACCCAGTGTTGACGGGATGAAGTAATTACACACAGCTACGCCGGCAGATACACCAAACATCAACAGCAGCCTGTGAGACAGCACAAAAAAGTCAGAGCCGATGATACACAGGCTACTGTCACACTTGTCATTTCAACGTGACGATTAAAATCTGATAAGAACTGGTTTCCCACATATCTTGACCACAATGTGACTGAACAGTGAGCTATGTTTTGCTCAAACTGCGGCTATAAACAACATTGAAGCTATTGGTTTAAAACCTGATAATGCGCACTGACGAAATATGTCTATATATATATATATATATATATATATATATATATATATATATATATATATATATTGACATGGCATGTAATAAAATACTGTGTTTGAAATCATATGATCTTGTGTTACAATTGTTACAAAACCAGAGATTCAAAAAACAAATAAAATATACATATTAAATGAAAATGTGGATAATTATTATTATATTGGACACTTGACGTGTAACATAAATATGTAACTTACACATATACTGTATACTAAATACATCAAATGATAAATACAACCACGGCATTCATTAGAGGAAGACGTTCTTCAGTTTAATCTCAAGGCATAGTGAGAATAAACTGGTGAAGTTGTTTAAGACTTTAAAACTACTGATGAGAGCTGAAGTAAGTTCTTTAAATACATACCTCAGGTTGCTGGACATGGGCGAGCCTCCTAAGCCAAACACGAGAGCCTGCTCCATTCCCCAGAGGAGCAGGGCATCCAGCGGAGGCAGTATACCTAGCGCCCACAGCAGAGGTAGGAAGAGGAACAGCACATGGAGAACCTGGCTGGCCAGTTGGAGCTCAGGGACAGGGCCTGAGAACCTAAATCAGAGCAGGACATTGACATTTATTATGGGAGCAAGAATTGTAAAATATAGTAGCATTCTATAGGAGGACCTCTCAGTTAGATAACTGTGTAGCTGTTGCTCACCTATCAGCCAAGTCCACAGCAATGAAAATAAAAATGTAGAGGGGACGGGTGAGTGGGGTGATCTCATAAGTGTCCTGTGCCTGGAAAGTGGCCGTCTCTGTGGCTGTATTTACAATGAGGGAATACTCAGCTATACACAGTGTCACCCAACTCAGGACAAAGACGACCAGGGAGACACCAATGCTGCCGTAGAGAGCAGTCAGTCTACCAAGGAACACATACCATGTCCCAAAGCCACAAAGCACTCCAGCTAGGACTGTATGCAGCACCACATTGAGCCCAAACCTCTTCCCAGGGGCAATAAATCGGACAGTCTCCGGGCTGACACAGTGGGTGAATTCCACTTCCTCTTCATCAACCAGAATGTTGGGCGCACCAAGTCTCTCCACTGTGCCACTCCTCCGAGCAGCATACAATGCCAGGGCCTGGACACCCGCTGCAGCCCCGAACATAAGCATACCAGAGAGCACTGTGGCGTGTAGCTCCTGAAGCAGCTGCAGCTGGCAGAGCAGGGTACCAATGCCCCCAAAGAGCCATGGTGTCAAGAACAAGACTGCCTGATTGACATAGACATACGGTGGGGCACAGTAGCCCAACTTGAAGCGTGGACCCCCCAACACTGTCTGAGGGAAGCGCTTCCAGAAGAACTCCTGCTTGTACTCATTAAGAAGGGGCACATCTGGCCCCATTCTGACCATTCCCGAAGGGGTGGCAGGTCATCTCCACACAGCTGAAGGAGGGTGTCCATTCATCTTCCCATACACAATTACACTGTCTGCAAAGAAGCACACATCAGTTAGGCAATGGAGGAATAATTATTAACAAAATTGAGAGGCAATACAATATCATCATTGTAATACAACACTAGTGACTGTGCCTTGCATGTAGCAACATTACACAAACTGGAGTTAAAAACAGAAGTTAATAATAAAAGTTTTAAACTGAAATATACTATTTTTGCTGCCTACATTTGGATGATTTTGTAATTTCGAGAACTTCTCCAAACTCAGGAGAACTTCACTAGTTACATCAGTCATACTATAAACTAAATGCAGGGCCTACTGCAAGAAGGGGTTCAGCTTTATGAGCACTAACATGATAATTATATCTAATTTTATTGCTAATCTAATTTCAAAAATAATTTTAAAAGCCAAAAGTTTAACTATAACAGGACGGGTATATCTAAAAGCCTAACAGATAACATACCTTTGTCAGAGCCTCTCTAAAACTCAAGATAGTTGTTGAAATTCTCCCTAGCACCTTAAACATGAACTCTCTCTCTCTCTCTCTCTCTCTCTCTATTAAAATGTGGTGTTTTAATTAGAGTTACCGCGAACCACCTCAGGGTTTTGCTGTAGCTATGATAGCACAAAATTAGACACAAGACATGATCAACAGCTGCTGAGTTACCATGAAAACACACCACAGAGGCAGCAACGTCAACGCGAGCTTCACAATACGCTAACGTGGGCTAACATGTTCAAGCTACTAACCGGACATTTCGAGTCACACCTCCTGTAACTAACCCAGGCAATAAGCGGAAAGTAAAATGCTTTTCTTCACCTCTCTGAGGCTGTTCTTGTCTCTTTACCGTAGCTAGCTTTATTACTGTTAGCTAACGATGCCAGCAAGTCTTTTCAGACTTGACTATCCGTTAGCTTTGCCATTACTAACAGGTAAATAACAGCAGGTTTACACCCTGCGCTGCCGCTGCTGTGAGACAAACTTACCGTTAACAGCAGAATACCCAACTGCAGATGAGCTTTGTGTAATACTTGACGGTATATGCAGTATTATGGAGAAACAGGCGGAAATTGCCAGCGTTAACATTAGCTGCGAGCTAACCGCTTGAAAGCCAAGCAACATCGGGCATGATACACAGAGAGATGTCAACCAATAGGAGTGGAGAGAAGAGGATAGCGCGTCCTCTGATTGGCTTAAAGCGTATAGAACCCGCCCCCTTACATCCCCAACCCGCCCTTTAAATCAGAGAGTAAAAGGGAACAACACAAATCCTTGTTTGTTTGTGTTTGGATGAACGACAATACTCTCTCTCTACTCACACAGATATATCTAAATTATATATATATTAATTAAATATATTAATTACATATGTATATATTATATATGAATTATATATAAAATATACCTCTGCTGTGGGCTAGGTATACTGCCTACCCTGGATGCCCTGCTCCTCTGGGGCATGGAGCAGGCTCTCCTGTTTAGTTTAAGAGGCTCACCCATGTCCAGCAACCTCAGGTATATATTTAAATGTGCTTTGGCTCTCATCAGTAGTTTTACACTGGTATTGAAAAAAAGACTGAGTAGAAAATGTGAAAGTCACAAACACTATGTATATATGTATACATAGACTGATACACTGACAAACACCTGTACAGATGTGTGAAACAGCAGCACTCTATGTGACTCTATACTCAACATCTGAATCAGTGATGCTACTTACCAGTGTAGCAGACCTGTGAGTGATCAACTATGCATGGATGCAGAACGGCCAAAAACTTTAGCACGCAAACACTTGTTGGGTTTATAACCATAAAACTCATTGAAAAGCAATGATGTTGTGATTCAGAGGAATAACTTTGAACATGAGTGAGTACAACTGACAATATTATAAACACATATAGGATCAAGTAGGGCAGTAAGCCCTCTATAAATTAGGACACACTCGTTTTTGTGTGAGTGGGAATCACACTCAACTGTGCAGATACCCCTCCTCAATAAACAACAGGATTCTACCACTCCAACTTGTTTTGTATTACTAAACAATGAAAAGAACCCCCCCCCCTCCCCCCACAATTATAATGACATCAAATGACACATCCCAATGCGTTGTTTATCCTCCTTATCCTAAATGATTTTTCAACCTCTTTCTTCCCAGTATCTTTAATTCCCAAATCTAATGCGCTTAGTCGACCCCAAAAACTGGATTAGAAATATTAATATTACATTCTAAATCCTTGTTATCATGTTCTTAATACAAAAAGAGCAAATCCTACAAGTATTTTATTATTTCAATATAATGAAAGTGATTGTGGTCAAGTGTCTGCCTCTCCAAAATGTTGATTTACTTAGAGAGAAGGGGGATCATGAAGTGATCAACTAAAAAGGCCACAATATCAACACAAAGGAACATAATAATCTGGAGCCAAGGAGATTAAATTGTTGTTGTTATTCTTCACTGTGGCCGAAGGGATAAGGGTGGGCAGGAGGTTGTGTTTCCTTGTCATCTTGAAAAAGCAATTTCTATTCTGTGTAGGACACAATAAACCATCACAACAGAAAAGCCTGCCAGTCACGACATGTATTGCACCTTGTAATCCTCCCCTAGCACAACTTATTTAAAATCATGGCTCCATTTTTGTTATAGCTGCCTGATGAAGAATATCAACTTGAATTAAGACTTAAGAGTATTAAAGGAGAAGACCAAATGCAAATATCATGAAATAAAAAAGGCTGATACCAAATTGGCTACAATCTACAAAAAGACGACCATCTGACAGTGCTCTGAAAATTGATTCCACCTAAATTTACAAGAAAATTGGGTATTTGTCTGTTGTTTGGTTATTGTTACCCTGTTCGTGCCATTTTAACCGCGCAACACGCTTTGTGTGATTGAAATAATGTGATAAATGACACACAAGTTCAATAATGTGATAAATCACACACAGGTCCAGAAATGAATAGCAGTTAAGATTTAATGCTTCTGCGAGGCGTGCTCCAAAATGTTTACACAAAATAAAAGCATTTTCCTTGTCATTCTAATTGTCACTCTCACTACATTCTTTTATCTGTATTTTCCCCATTCGCTTCCTCCATTCGCTCTTTATTCTAGGGAGCCACACAGGAAACAAATTACAGGAAAATGACAAGCGACAACAATAACTCAATGACAGATTTCAAGAGAGGCAATATGGCAAGATTGTTTTTGAATAGAGAATGTATTTGTGGGGATAAAAAATGAACTCAGGACATAATATGCACCTTTTAAAAAAATAATAATTTATATTTTGATGATGACCTGCAGTTGTTTGCCATTATCAGCCGAATGTGGAGAGAACATTTCATTTTTACAACAGCAATTCCAAGTCAAGTGGTGATGTTGATGTAATTGTAACCTCTACCAAAGCACTTCTAAAGTTAATACAAGCTGGTAAATGTGTAATACATGTGGAGTTTAATGTTATTGTCATCCATCACATACTGCTTCGATAAGCATCGCACAAGATGCTGCGTTATCTTTGGCATCAAACGTCAATCATTGTCCTCATCCCTCTCACTTCACCCACAACATCAACCAACACTAGAACCTGAGTAGATAGCACTGAAAACATGGTCCATTCAGCAATTATTCACAGAGTCTTGGACTAATGGTGCTCTGAATGCACAGACACAGCAAATGTAGGGAGTTAGTGGACCAGCAGTAATGGCCCCATACAGAGCATGTGTTTTTCTGTGTGTGCGTGTGTGTGTGTGTGTGTGTGTGTGTGTGTTAGTGGGGATGGGGGAAAGAGCATCATCTATAACGGATTCACAACAAGCACAAACATGTCTAATTATGAATCCAGACTACAACTGTAGACACCAACTCACTTCCCCCTCTCCACCCTCTCCGTCTCTCTTCCACCCTCTCGTTCCCTCCCGCCCGAGCCGGGCTCCATATCAGGCAGATGAAAACATAACCTGTCACATTCCATCCCATTAAACCAGCTACGAACCATGTGGTCTACTCACATGGAGGAGCGAAGAGAGGGAGAGGGGGAGAGAGAGAGAGAGAGAGAGAGAGAGAGAGAGAGAGAGAGAGAAAGCAGTGCATCTGGGTTCACTCAGTACTGATGAATTATTCACATTCTTTATGCTAATGTCATTTTAATGTTAAAAATACTGACCGATATGCAAAAAGAAACATACTGTATGAAGTGGTATGCTCACCATAAGCTTACACTACACATACAAATACAATTGCATTAAAAACAGCTTTACCTCAAACATATCCATACTGCACATACTGTACACAAATATAAAATGTGTAATTATCCTTTGCAATACCTAATGCATTAGAGAGCTCTCACTGAGCCCCCAAATCTGTGCATTAGAGGTTTTTTTCTTTTCTTTTTTATGTGAGTCCATCAGCTGCCATTTGATGTCTGGCAGAGCAAGGTAATGACAGTGCACTCGCTTGCACAGTCATTAGCCCCGCTTAATGCTAGGAATTAACACAAATTAAGTGAAGTTAAGTACATGCATTAGAGGAGCTTGTTTGGGGAGAGCTTTTCACTTTTGCTGCCTAGAGCTGGCTGCTGCCTCACATGTTCAGCAAAGGCTACACAGGCAGGAAACGCAAAAAAATAAGGCATGCACACACGTATCTGCCTTCAACTGATGTATTACTACCTACAGGGCAGGTGGTAAATTCATTGAGGACTGATTAGTGGTGCAGTGAAGGCGGGAGATAATGGAGCTCTAAGGACACCTAGTGGTCACATTAACAGCACTCATCCATAAAGTCCATAGTTCAGGTTGGTGGAAGAAATATGAAAAACATATGTATTATGAAAAAGTGAACATCTCAAGTTAAAATAATCATTTAACTTTACAATAAGTCGTTGAGACAGATGGCAACAGTCTGCATGGTGACAGTGACAATTACTCTCTTTCCCTATGTTTATACCTAAGTCGATGGATGAGATGTCATCTCACATTACCAGTTCATTACCAGAATTATAGGTCACATAATATATGTAGGCTGTATTACATTTTATCACACCCACATTTAAGGCTCAGACTGGTGTTAACTACAGGACTTCTAGATTACCAGACTAAACTGACAGGAAGATAGAGGTTTATAATCTCATGTTCAGGAGATCTAACATCATAAATATCAAGTGGAGTAGGTTCATTTCCAGTTACAACACGCAAGATTTGCCTATCAGTTTTTTTCGAAAAGAGGCTAACATGATGAAAATGACAATCTCTGAAAATCCATTTGGACCTCATTCAAGATTACATCTTTATCTGAGTGACTGCAGATTATTGTCCACAGAGAGGTGTGCTAAAGCTGGATTATCTACTTGTTGGGGATGCATTTGACCCAATGGAGGCTGCGTGCCACCCTCACACACCCTTACATCTGTGGGTGTTTTTTCACTTGTTTGGGGCCAAGGATGGGATAGCAGTAGAAATGACACCAAAACCTCTCATCCTCAGATTACCATGGTTAGTGATCCACATATGTGGATTGAAAATAAGGTCACCGTCATTATAAATGCATTTGAAAGGGAAGCACTATAATCAAGCCTAATTTTCTTTGACCCTGAACATGTTTTAGTTTCAACTAAAATTCAGTGAGCCGCAAAGGTGATTTATTGATATGTAAACAGCAAAAAAAGGTTACAGAAGGTTATTTAATGCTTTGTGAAAAAAACTACGGCACTTGATTTGCCCTATGTTCTGACTTTTTCACCATTAAATATGCAAACAGAGGCGGATGCTCAAATACATTAAGGCACACTTACAGAAACACCACCTTCAAGATATGATGTCCTAAAATACCATGATATGTGACCACACCACAGTCATGGTTGTTGCACGTGTTCACCTTTGGATTACGTACTGATCGACAACTATCAGTGTATACTCCATTGCCTCTGGCCACTACATGGATGGAGGTTTGCCACTATTTGGAAATCTGGAATATAACAAGTACGAAGAAAAGGTCAGAGTGTATTCTGTTATGTTTCAAACATACATTTTAAAGAAGCATAATTATATCTCTTGGATTTTGTACTTACTAACCTGCTGTCTTGCTCCTGGTTGGGATACGTGACGATGACTCTGTTCCCATCAGGAAGAAGGCCTGTTGTTGTCAGGTTGCTTACTGCTTTTCGAATGTGTCTAAAGGTAATGTCAGTTTGGCCGCTTCGAGCAGCATTACCGTGCTTGTGCTTCTTGTCTGAATTGGGAATTAATACAAGGGTGTGGGTTAGAGAGCCAGAATAAACTAAAAAACACACTGTGTCGATCTAAAGCTTATTGTTATGCACAATCAAGAAATTAACCATCTTCAAGAGGAGACACTCACGCTTGTATGTGTAATGAGATTGGGCCTCGTCCACGTTACTTGGCAGGACATCGTGCCCATGCATAAAGTTCTGTAGTCCTCCACTCATACTCATTCCTCTAAGAGGGTTGTGTCGAGGCATGAGGGGTAACAGTCCAGGTAGGTTTATTTCAGTAGCAGGAAGCGAAGCTCCAGGGCACTGGGAGCATGGCTTTAAGAGACATAGGAAATAGAAACAATAATAAAGATAGAAGTAATACTAAGTGGACAGGATTATTTTGAAGGAGACATTTAGATTATGTGTAAAAATGATCTTAGTGCTTCCAGAGCCCACTTAATGCCTTTGTATTCACTGACATATGCATCCTAACCCTGTTTCTCTTTCCTCTACTTTCCAACTGTCGCTGCAGTGTGTTCACTCCACCCACACACTTGGCAGAAGATTGGTGATTACATCTACGTATATAAGCATCTTATAGGAGAATAGTAATTACTACTCATCAATAGCAATGTTCAAATTCAAACAGCAGCAGTCACAGGCATAAACTGACAGTGACAACTGAGTTGGCAGTTATGAGAGTCAATAGGAAGAGGTTTGTGTTTTTAATGAGAAAACACAGGATCTCTGCTCGGTCATTTCCACATCTACGATTAACAAGCAGAGGGGGTCGTGTTGACCTGGCTAATAGGGGGTAAATCCGCTGGTGCATTATCGGCCGGGCACATTTCATCTAATCAGCAGGATGATGCCAGCAGGCTTAGGCTGCTTTTAATTCAGAGCTGCAGGAGAATTACTGCCTTGGTCTCTCATTACATGAACATCAAATCAGTTGGACTGAAAGAATTTGATCCAGGCTTTCCCTTTTTTGGTTGTTGTCATTTTGTTTCTTTCAGTTGGACAAATCTTGCATGATCAGGCCCATTATGAGCTTTTTGAGAATGGGAAAAAAACTATTGCATACTCTGACTCCATGGATGGAGCAACACTTTTTTCCTATTCTCAAATCTACTTCCAGTGATCAGCACCTCAGTACAAGCCTGGGTGTGTGCTATTTTTCTATATTATACCATTATGAGCTTTTAACACAAACAAGGTTTTAGTTAATTTGTAGTTTAGTCAGTTTCATACTGAAATACAAAGAAGCATTAGAGATAGTGGGAAAGAAAGCTTTCTTTCCTGCAAACTAACCTTATTCCTGCCTCTACATATTTGTTATAAGTAAAACATCTTCATTTTTGTTGATATTAATGTATGTTGGGCTATAGCCAGGATTTTTAGAAAAACTAAAGATCCCCCTAACACTCTTGTCATCATTATTCTCTATCCCAACCTGAAGGTCTAAATGGTGTTTCAAAACCTTCTCCACACTGTCAGGAATAAAATCATGGGGGAAATCATGTTCTGGAGCCTTGATTTCTCCATTATTTTTTGTCCTTAAAGTAGTCCAAAAAAAATTGTGTCTAAAATACTGGAATCAACATGTGAAATACATAAGTATGTTTTTAATTTGTAGAATTCTTCCCAAGGTCAAAAAAATATACTCTGAAAAATGCTGGGGCCCTGTATGTATGTATATAGCCTATACAGTATGTGTGCAGTATGAGTGTTTCTGAGTGAGAATGTTGTTCTCACTGATGAATCAGTACTGAGGAGTTCAGCCCTGGTTCTTTCCTCCAGGGTAACCATTACTCCATCCAGGACCTGCAGCTGGGACAGATGAAGCACTACCGCTGGTCTGTGCAGAGAATTTTTGGCCACCTGGAAAAAAAAAAAAGAAGCACCTGTTTGTTAAAACAACCTGGTAATAAATCATACTAACCTAACTAGCAAACTGTGGAGACATCTGGGATAAATATGATGCTATGTGGGTGCCAACGCAATTATCATGTTCCCAACAGCTTTTCCAGAGACCCAGCTGACAGCAGCAGATAGCTCTGTGCCCAGCTGAGGGCACCCTCTGGCCAGGATGCAAGTTCACCCTATCCAGTCATAGAAAGTAATGTTCCTATAGGACACTGCTGCTGTGATTAAGTTGTGCATGCATGCCAATAGATGTCCAGTGGAGAGGAGAACACAGACTTTGGCTAGGGAACATGGGTGAGGTAGCGATCTCATGCTGTCAACAGCAGGAGGTATTGTCTCTGGGGTGGCTGATGGCCTCTACCCCCTGGCAGGATTAACCCCTCCTATGGGAAGAGAAGGGGGATGGGGTCAAGCAGTGTAGAGGCGACCACAGCTGAGCATACCCCTATGGGCGAAAGGGAGGCCCTGGGCTGTAGGCTCCGCTCAGTCCTGATCCATGAGCTCCAGATGGGTGATATAACGGGGCCAATAGCGCCCTGCCATTTGGTCAACGGATTTGTCTCTGATGCCGGCCAGTTTGAGGCACAGCAGATGGCCCATCATGTAATCGCTTAATTTGGAACCACAGAGTTACACTGGGATAGTGTTTTGGATTGTGCAAGTCAGAAATTGAGCCTGTGAGAGTGGTTTTAATAATTTGTCTGCGAGTGAAAGAGTTCAAAGTGTCCTGTGACTGACGGCTAGTAAAGTCACATTAAAGCTTATAATAGCAAAACAAACTTGGATAATGTTTTCACCCAGTTCACCTAACTGTGTGCAACACTTAACAGTAATACTCACAGGATTGCCAACAACAGAGAGCTCCATCAGCGAAGGAAGAACTTCTAGTTTGTCAAGCTCTGTGATCTCCTTCAAAAAGTACGGAAACAAAGATTCATTTAAATTCTTATTTCATTCACTATCCCCTCATTTAACTTTTATTTCCCACTGGTTGTAGGCTGCTGTGTGTCGATAATGGAGACATATGCATCATGGCTAACCCTTTCAGAATTTTGGTGTAGGGAGGATGGAAGCAGCTGATGAGAGGGATTACATGTGTGAGCTCTCATTAATCTCATGAGAGAGTTTGGGCACACAACAGGGTGCGGGGGTGTTTTCTGTCATTTCCAGGTTTATGGTTGCACTTGGCTGTGATTCAAAGACGCCCCCACTGTGAGAACTGTAGCGCTGGGATGATTGCTGTATTTGATGTCTTAATTGAATGCATGAAAACATTAAGGAAGTGAAGGGAAGCAGGAACTGGCAACAAAAGTGCAAATCACTCGCCCTGGGTGAGAAGGAGATGCAGACTGAGAAGCTGATTACACGTTGCCCTGATTGTTCACCTCTTTCTTCATACACACAGCCCTGACCTTCAATCAAACTTGATTCTCCTTAATGCTACCCCTCGTATGCCACAGTGGGGTGGTAATGACTCATGATTACTATACTTCACGTCTTACTTTGCAAATGCAGGGAAAAGTAATATGGCTTCACGCTGAATGAAATACATTCTCAAACATCTGACACATTCTGCATATAAACCAATCAGTAAAATTTGGTGGTAAATCAAAAACTGCACAAAAGCTTACTGTGACCTTGGTGGTCACCTCAAGAAATCACTGTGGTGTGAGTCATTAAGGCAGTTTCATTGAAAATCTGAATATAAAGATTTTTAAAAGGAGGCTGCTACTGCTGCTGGAGGAGAATACCTGCAGCTTGTTCATGCCAAGAAAGAGTTTGCGGAGCTCAGTCAAAGGATCTAGATGGTTGAGCTCCCGGATCCGGTTCTCTGCTAGGTGCAGTTCTAGCAGAACGTTCTGGGCTATAAAAGAGTTTTCAGCCAGAGCTTTGATCCGGTTCCTGTCCAGCCCAAGCTCTCTGAGCCGGTGAAGCCCCTCCAACCCTTCCACCTGGCTGATCTCATTACCTAGGGACAGAAGACCATATCAAAACAATGGAAAAGATATTTCCAACAATAGTCTAATGTTTCTGAAAACAAAATAAGAGAGTGAATTGCACACCCTAAAGAATATAAAAGGCTGGTTTTAAGGCAATATAAACATTTCTCGTTTATTTGTTGTTTGCTGCTGGTGTAAAAGGCAGTGAAATTACAGAGACAGCTTTGAAAGCTTTGTAAGCAAAAAAGGAAGAAAGGACAAGTAAGGTTTGCTTTGTGGGACAAATCACCCTGACCAAGTAAAGCTCAATCAAAAGCCATCAAATGCTGTTGAAAAGAAAGTCAGTCTTTCTTTTCTTCAAGTCTCATCTCCCACCTGGCCTAAGGTCTAAGGGATACTTTGCTCTCAGTGTTTGCCTTTTCACAGGCTCTATACACACACTTTTAACAAGCTTTGTCAGGGAGGGGTGGTACGCCGTCAACCATACGTACCTTGAAGAAAGAGCGCTTTAAGATTGGTGAGCCTGCTGAGCTGAAGATTGGCCATATTGGAGATGCCATTGTGACTCAAATGCAGCACCTCCAGGCTGCCCATCAGTGGCTCCAGACTGCCAGTGGGCCCAGTTTCCCTTAAACACAGTCATAGAAAGACCTTGTGGTTAAATAAACATCTCTTTCTCCCTCCCGCTGCCTCATTTAACTGGTCCAACATCACAGGTGCAGACCACCTAAAGGCAATCACAGTCAGGGCTAACAAAAGCATGTCTGTCACAGCACTTTCTATAAAAAGAAAATGTGATTGGAAGAACATATTATTATTCCTATGATATACTGACAATGTAGAAACTAACTAACTAATATATAAACTAAGATTTCCATATATGGTTTATTTTAGGTATAATATCTTTAGAAAGAATAAATATTTTGAACCAAATTACAATAAATTGAAACTGTGTTTATAACTAGTTTTAATTTGGGTTTATAGACAACAACTGTGACAAAAATCTCATATAACTGTCTGAAGACAGTTCATACATTGGCTTGTCAGTGCTGCCCCCTAATGGTTACAGTCTACACATTCAGTTGAAGTTCATACATCACACTTGGCAGCAGTCTAACATTGTAAAATGTAAAAATACAATTCATTTTGTGAAACAAGAAGAGGGTTACCCTTTGCCTTTGGATGGGCTCTGCTGGCCGTAACCACTGGAGTGAACTTTGCTGTGCAGTATCTGTCTGTTTGTCATATGAGTCTTCTGTCTGGGCAGGATGGACTCAATGTGGTTGTAGTTCAGACACAGAGCCTGTAAGGAAGACACTGGAAATAATTTATCTGTCCAGGGCTCAGGTGCATATTAAGCCAGTCTGTTGCTTTTTGACATTCAGTCTAATTTGTAGCTACTTTGATGTTGGGCAGGTAGATGAGGCCTGAGAAGGAGGTGAGGTTGTTGTGGTCTAAGTTGACACTGCGCAGGCTACAGAAGAGGTCTGCTGGACACAGATCAACCATCCTGTGGGGGGGGGGAAAAACGCTTTTAATTAGTCTAAATTTTCAGCTCAGTAAATCACTATAATGATGCTCATTTTTTCAACGTGTGCCGTGTTTATCTGTCTGCATGGCCAGACTATAACCTAATTGAGCAGGACTGCAGGGTGAGGTAGGTGATGTCTGTGTAGTTTGAGTGGCCCAGCTTCTCTGCTATCATGTCAGGGGTTAGTCTTCCTCCAAACATATCCTTTGCACTTTCACACTCTGTTACCTCCTAGAGAAAAGAACAGTAAATAGAAAACACTAGACCTAATTATCATTATGACAATGTTTGAAAGGTTCAGCTGGTTGCCATTGTTGGTACATACCACTGCAATGCCATCTAGTGCTTTTAGGGAGGGTAGGTGGAACACTACATAAATCCGATAGTTTTCCAGTTTCTCCAATAAAGGATTCCCATAAAGATCCAGAATGATGAGGTTTGTCAATCCCTAATGGGAAAAAGAGCATATGAGCTCAGACAACACAACAAAAATGTTGGGGAAATCTGAAATCTACTGTCCTTAGTTCTCTCCCACTTGCCTTCAGAAAGTAGATGTCTTGTGAGGTAGAAATGTGGTTGTTGCCGATGTAGAGCTCAAGAAGGGAGCGAACTCTCTGGATGCCATGCAGGGAACTGATGCAGTTGTCCTCCACAGACAGGAAGGACAAGTTGGGCAGCTGATCTAGGACTGAGGCATCCAGACTAGACAGCTGATTCCCATCTACACTTAGTTTATTTAGGCAATGCAGTTTGGATAGGCCTGAAGAAAAAGAGAGCAAAGACAGTCACAGAAATAATGATGTCTCGGATGGATCTAAATGCTGTGACTTTCCAAATTTTTTGTCAACAATTCATTGCCAAGCTGACAGTGTGACTAACCATTGAGTGTGCTAATGTTGTTGTTGTTGAGGGAAAGCTCCTCCAGCTTTAAACAGCTGTCAAGACCTTCCACTTTAGAAATGTCATTATCATTAAAGGAGGCCCAGCGCAGGTTGACCAGCTTATTCAGATTGATCAGTCTGGAAATCCTCTGGCTGTCAAGGTTCAGAGCAGTGATCTGCTCAAAATGTAGGACCACATACACACAAAACGTGTATAAATTATTACAGATGTTAAACATGTATTACAATTGCCACAGTATCAACATCACGCAGCCTGGTTACTCCCTGGAGGAAGCATTTTGCTAAAACTTTACAAATGCATTTTCTGAAATCACTCCACTAGAAAAATCCACATGCCTGTAGCTCACCATTGCAGTCCAGTCTAGCTCCAGCTCTCGGTTGAGACCCCAGGGTGCAGGACTGAGAAGACACAGGAGCCGGGCTGTTGACAGCAGGCTGAGACTGCGGGGACGATCACTGTCAGTACGCGAGTGAGCCAGAAGAGATGCCTACGAGCAAGGTGTCAACAGGTATGATTGAATTACAGTTCATCCTGAAATATACAGGTAGATGTCCACATATTGTACTGCGTCCTTCATTGGAGCATTTTACTACTTTGTTTCATGGAATAAAGAAACTATCTGTATTTGTAAGACCTTAACCTGGTTAATTTTGGATCCAGCAGCCATCTGAAGAGCAACAGCAGCCTCCTCCTCTGCTACCATCATATCATCCAGGTGTGTGAGGGTTATGAGACGGCCCAGTATGGTCATTCTGACTGCTTCAGGCTGGAAGAAGGAAAACATTCTCGCTTTATGCTTTCTCATTGTGCCCTATACTACATATTTAATTTGATTGATAACAGCACGCACCCTGTTCCAGGGGTTGTATCGGGTGTCAAGCTTCAGCAGGGCGGGTGTGTGTTTTCTCAGCACAGCCGTATCCTCTCTGGCGTTGGTCAACTTGTTCCAGCGCACGTCGAGGTGTTTGAGCTGTCCCAACCCCCTCAGCCCTTCTAAGGCCACTAGTCGATTATAGCTAGCATCCAAAAATTCAAGGTTGGGCTGCAATTCAGGTAACAAAGACTATAGATGTTAAATGTTTCCACTTGATGCTATGGTCCAAAACTATCTGTATTATTTGCCAAACAACTATCAAATTTCATTCAATATTACAGAGGCAAGTTACTATTAAAATGCAGCTTTCTTCTGACTTTAGATATGGTTTAGTTTAAAGGTTCACTGTGTAACATTTAGGAGGATCTGTTGACAGAAATAATATTTATATGTATGCTTTCATTAGTGTATAATCACCTAAATATAGGAGTTGGTTTTTGTTACCTTAGAATGAGTCATTTTTATCTATAAGCGTGAGTCTCCTTCCATTGGGATCCACCATGTTTCTACAGTAACCCAGAATGGAAAAACTGAACACTTGCATTAGGGCCTTTTGCGGTTACTGTAGTTTCTCCTGCACACTTTACAGATGTCAGCAGTGTTCAGTTAGTTGTAATCTGCAACTCACCACTAGATGCCACTAAATCCTACACAGTGGTCCTTAAAGGTCAATACAAAGATTTCTATTATTGCTTTCACCATGTGAGAAATGTCATCAAGGCGTGTGAACTCATTGAAGCTGATGGTAAGATGCTGAAGAGCTGTAAGGCGGGAAATCTCCTTTATTTTACTCAGACTGTTGCCATGAAGGTTCAGCACCTGGAGATTTGATACATTGAAGATGGTTTATTGCGAGCATATGAAATGGCTTCAAAATCAATTAGTCATTTGAGAAGCCAGAATACTTACAGTGATCTGACTGAGGACATTGGCTCTGGCAACATTCAGTAGAATTTTATCATCTAAGCTCAACAACTTGGGCTGTGGTTTCAGCACAGGTTCCATGTTGAGGACTTCCTTGTCTAGGATGATATCATTGGAAGGACTATCATCTCTGCCCGTGCCGTGGCCCGACAATGCAGGTTGTTCTTGATCCTAATAACAACATATCAAAAAGCATGTGACTTTGCCAGAGGTACATAATTACTGACTTGTGGTGGGTGTGCAACTAGAGAAGAGACATAAAAATCAGAATGATGTTTTATCATCTGTGAGTTTTGGTTAAAGCCATGCTTCTGAATTTTGATTGCATCAGAGCTCAGCATGACAATTGAGTTATTTTGATTTGTTCTCAAATGAAAAACTAAAGTTAAAAGGGACTGTTGAGTTCTTCCAGTCTGCATTCAGTAGATGAAGATGTACAATAACAAAACCAATAAACTAATTACCCCACTGATGTAATCAAAATATATGATGTACTCAGGCAGGACAAGCTCATGCTCAAACATAAACCACTGCCTTCGGCGGGGAGTGCACTCAGGACCAGTTTGTGCTTTGGAGGAGCGGGGTCTCTCTGAATGAAAAACACAGAGAGGTAATGACATTGTATGAATATTAACTGAAAAATAATATGTTTTTAAGCCTTGTAAAATACCGCATACCTTCTCCCACTGCAGTTCTTTGCTTAGTGTCCACATTGCGATACACAGAGTAGGCTCTGTGATGGCTGCTTCTGTCCACTCGTTCTCCCATGCGAACAGGCATGCTCTGGCCCACAAACACTTTAGAAACAATAATCTGACCTATAGGCAAAACACATTACCACTTTAGTTATTAAGAGAGAAACAAACCAACAGTTATGGGGAATATAAGAACATAATATTATAAGCAAAACTAACTCACCGTGCCTGAAGGGGATTGTATCCGTACTGTGCTTGGAATCGCCTTGTCTGGCCTGACGCAGTGCATGTTCAATTCTGGGCTGTTCGGTCACACTCAGGCTATTGGATAAAGGTATACCTTCTCTCTCCAGAGCCTAGTTAAGAGTTAACATGGTAAAAGTCTGCATGTAACATAACAGTATTATGAAATTTCCAACTAAGAATTTTAATAAGTCACAATTTCACACTAACAGAACTTTTCCCTTCTTCTATTATTCATTGAATTCTGTTAAATTAAAAAAATGCTCTTAATGCTCAGTGGAATAAATTCTGGGTGATGGGACTGACTATTGCGGGACGGTGGAATTTTGAACTCCAACAGTAACAATAACATCAGTATACACACCTTATACTGTTCAGCTGTTTTGAAGCCTTCCTCTACAATGCACAAAATTTCTTCTTTCTCACTGCCTTTTTCAGGGTCAGCTGTGTAGAACAAGTGCTCCAGCCGACGTCTGTAATTCCTGCTTTTAAAGTGTACATTAGATTTAAAGTAATAGTGGACAGTCCTGTTATTGTTAAAATGGTGACAATAGTCATTTTAACATGTCTGTACATTATTGATAAAAACACAACAATGATCACCTTTTATCACTTTAACTTACTGTGTAGTTGCAGACTCATCGCTGGCTAGAAGGGTGTGAAGTTTGTCCTCAAAGCGAAGCCTCAAAGCACTGTTGTGGATGCGGATAACTCTATTGATCTTAATGCCAGTGATGCCATGCACCTTGAAGTCTGAACGAGAGAAGCGGGACAGCAGGAGGTCGCAACAGGAAGTAAACCTGTCGGGTACATAACATAGATACTATGAATTAAGAGAAGCCTGCTTTTGATTTTTCCTCTGTAACTGTGAATTCACTGATGAATGTAATTGTACTTAATACCAAGTAAGTGTTATGTTTACTGGGGGACCGGTCTCAAATACCAAACATATCCAAGTGTGCATTTTCTGTTATTGTTGTGGGTATAATAACAGTCTGTCGAGTTATTTTAAGAAGAAAACAACGACTCCAGAACTGAAAGAATGGGTTAGTGCAATGGTTGAAATCATCTTATGAATGTATGCTTAGCAGAATAAGTAGCGATCGAGAGGAAGGGGCGTCTCCCTGGGAACAGTTCCGGCCTTACATAAAAATGGAAGATAGGTCTAAATAGAGATCCGTCTCCTCTGTGACTATATGATCCTATAATATGACTCACGATATATGTATGACATGTTCTCCCTCTGTTCTTGTTTTGTTTTTTTCCTTCTGGATTTTTTCATTTATTTGTATATTTTGTTATGGATTATAAATTCTGTAGTCTGTGCCCATGATATAAAAAATGTGCCATGTGTTCCTGTATCCTGAAAACAATAACATATGTATGTATGTCATGTACCAAGACTTTCAAAAACAAATTAACAAAAACAAAAACCAATGCCAAGTATGTACCAAGGGTCTGTGGAGCAGCCTTCTTCCAAACGAATATTTCCAACACTTTCTAGTTCCATCAACAGAAACTGGACAGTATACTCCATCATGTTTGTGGCTTGGGCCAAATCACGCTCATACCAGGCTTCAATCCTGAATATAGAAGGAACATGATTTTTTCACATTAGTATCTTTAATCAGATGGAACATATACTGTACATTATGAGACTTAAATTGTGTAAAAAAACTGTGAAGTTGTCTCTGTATCTTATTCAAATATACAGACTCATTCAGCCTCCTCGTCCATAGCAGCAGTCTCTCCCTCAGCGCTTCTATCTTGCTGTGTATTTTGTGCTCCATGGCAGGATCACGACTGATGTCAGTGGTTGGGTCACTTCTGTCGGCCGAACCTTCAACCAGGTGGGTCAATCCATCCTCCAACGTGCAGGCAGACTTCTTACATGTAGCCGGCACCTTGGAGAGCTCATGTTCAAGCTAGTTGTGCATTCAAATGAAAAAACCTCTCTTAACCGTGTATAATAAAAGCAACCTGCAGCTGGAGATTACAGCTAAATAACTTATCCTGTACTCTTGTTACAGCAGCTGAAACAATTTTTAAAATGTCTCAAGGATTGTACATACATTCTTGAGGGTGTGATTGACTGTTCTGACGCATTCTTCAGGTAACTGTAACATAGTTTTCTTCCTCTCTGTCAGGCTGAGCCGGGTCTCTGCCAGGTTCCTCTGAGCAGTACGTACACGCATGTTGTAGTACATCATTTTCTTCATTACTGTGGACTAAAACGACACACATAGATGCAACACGTGTATTACATACTTTTTATAGACAGATGTTGTTCAAACCTACAGAACCTCATTCTGTTACTCTATATCTCAATGAGGTTTCCAACACTATTAAATGTGGCCAGATAAATTAAAGGGAAATGTGAATTTCTGATAAATCACCTTGAATTTAAGAAATGTATCAAGAAATTATGTTGTGGATTGAAGTATTTCACTCATTATACGTACTGATTTGTAACTGAAGCCCTGGAACAAGCAAATGTTGTATTTATTTTACTATCTCTGAAGCTATTATTAGAAATTTAAACAAATCACTTGACATAAATAAAAATAATTTGTATGGTTTCAAGAGCCAAACAGAAGCTCAGCTGAGCTCAGTTAGTCTAATGCAGCCGTCCTGCTGGTCTTCTCAATACCTCAGCTGCTTCCTTGACTTGCTTGCTTGAGACATCATAGGTGTCAAGTCGCTGGAGGCCTGGCATGTGGTAAAGAACGTGTGTGGCATAGTTACACAGCAGACACACTGGGTTTGGGGTGGACGTGGGGTCCTTCAGTGCTAGTTCTCTCAGGTGGGGTAAGCGGGCAAGCCAGGTGAGCTCCTGTTACGACAACAGAACACACAACAGAACACAAGTTCATTAATAAAGTTTCTCTTAAAGGACTTGACTAAGACGCAAGGATTCTTACTTTCAGGTGATCATACTGTCGATGATTTGGCAACCACAGGAGACAAGACATGTTTCCAACATTATTTGGCCAAAGTAATGCTCCATTAACTGTTGCATTAACACTAATTATATATTATGAATGGATAATAGAGACATGATTGTGTAATGCAATTTTAACTTTGTATATCTACTTTTGTATAAGTAAGCTAAAAAAAAAAAATTAATTGTAATGACGAAGGAGCAAAGGCTTCTCCTTTTTCTTTGATTCAACAGTTGCATTCTTTGAAGACAGACTGGGTTGGGACAAAAGGTGGATTGCAAGAATATGATCTGAGGTTTCAATGCAATCAAAGCCTGAGCCACCAAACGTTTTATGTGTTTTCTGTCGGAATGACCTTGAACTTCCCTCAGGATAAATAAAGCATCTATCTATCTATCTATCTATCTATCTATCTATCTATCTATCTATCTATCTAACAAGACAATGATTCAGTGTAAATTCTGAATGTATAACTGACTAACACAAACCTACATATAAAACAACTCTTACATAGTTTTTTTATCTTTCTTTTTTTTTTTTAAATAGATGCACTGGATGTATATCATTGAAATTATGCTGCTCAATAACTCAATGAAGGTCTTGTGCACCCAGTCCATTGTAGAATTGATTGAAAATCTGAACTGGTTGAGACCCCGACATTTCGCAAATATTTCTAAATGCCCTTTCTTCAGACCAAGGATTTTAATAAGATTTTTCAAAATAAGCAGGAAAACTTTTTAAAGAAAGAATTTCAAAAGCACATTTCTGATTTTAATCTTACCTTAAAGGAACGTATCTTGTTCCCGGACAGATTAAGATTCTGAAGGCTGACATTAGGATCAAGGCTATGCCCTTATAAAAGAAGTTAAAAATGTTTTGATTATTATTTTTTCAAACAGCTCACTGAATCTCAATCAAACTTGGCACAGAAAATACAGAGGATTCTAAAAACCTACCAATCTTTTCAATATTGTTGTCAGCAAGGTTTAGTTCTTTGAGGTTTTGAAGCGTGTTCAAGCCCTTTAGAAGAAAAAAAAAAACAACCACACATAGACGAGTGAGTGAGAATGCTACTTTTAAAAACATTCATAACAGTCATAATTACAGATATAACAAATTGTGTAAAATGCTGTTTTTGCGAGCCAGATTATTCAGAAATAAAATTCAAAACACATATAGTAGAATGTAAGATAAACATTCATAATTCTCAGTTCAAACCTGTATCTGAGTAATGCAGTTGTTGTTGAGCCACAGGACTTCTAGGTTGATCTGCAATTCTAAATTATTTATTTCACAGATTTGATTATCATAAAGGTAGAGTTTCTCTAGCTGTAAACAATTCTGTAGTCCAGATATTTCCTGCAAAAAGAGAAGATGGGACAAATTATTGTTTAATATATGACATATTATATGTACAATTCACTTATATAGGTTACTGTTTTGCGTAAACTATGGTTTATTGTCCATAAATTGTGGCCCATGCGTGCAAGATTTGTTGTCACTGGATGCCACAGAGGGGAAAATTGTGATCACAGCGTCCAAAGTTTAAGAACCTCGGCAATAAAACAACAATCACAATCACACTATAAACCATAGTGAACTGCAATGATTCAGGGGATTACATATTATTGTTATCAACACTGACGGCATTGATTATTAGAAATCATACCAGCATAACAGACTTACTGTCAGATGGCACTGGACTACCCAGAGCTCCTGAAGCAGAGGACAGCACTCGAGTGCTTCAATGTGTTTTATGTTCTGGCCCACTACAGTAAGCTGGCAGAGCCTTGGGAAGAAGGAAAGCCCAACCATGCGAGGAAAACCAGAGAAGAAAATCTCCAGGACGCTGATGTTGGTTCCTTCTTGTGCAATTTTTTCATAGGACACTCCATTGGCCATGCACTGTTGAGAAATTATTCATGTGACAGATTCACTTATATTTAGCAAGGCCTAATCATCGTCAGTGAAAATAACACAAGAAATTATTATTCTTTATTGTTAAGCAGTTACTGGGTGAGGTACCATTTATTATTTTAACCAAATGAATATGAATGTCCTACTCACCAGCTCTTTGACCACCTCCTCGTCACCGCGGTGCTTTTGTTTCTCACTCTGTATCATGACTTTTCTGTCTTGAAATTGACTGCTAACACTAAATAACAATAGTTAGTCAGTTTGCCCTTACACTGCATACATCCTGCCTTAGTGTACTAATAGTCTATTGGGAGACTAAAGAAAAAACCATGACAATTACACTGCCACATGGTAACTAAGAACTGAGGTTAGTAAACAAACTCACACTAAATGTCGCCACACATTCACGCTAACTTCACTTAGCCTCTAAACTTATTGTGCCACCAGCTCGCTAACCTTAATATTAACATAAAACATGTTAAATTAAACCCCGCATGGCGGACAAAATTAACACAAATTTCCCACGACGAATTACATAATACCTGCAGCTCAAGCAGCAAAACCCTGTGGCCCACCTGAGTGGAGCAGTGTTTGGCTCTTCTTCCCTCTGTGTCCAGGCAGGAGCTTCTGGTTGCTAGGGAGCCATGTTGAAACTTTTGGGTCCTCCTCATATTTTTGGAGCTACCACATGATGGCGCCACACTGCAAGGTAATTTATACACAAAACCCATACATTTATCTGCTTCATATTATAGGCACACTTTAAAAAAAAAAAAAAAAAAAAGCATTACACGTGAAATTCTTGCTATTTCTTCCAAACATTAGTTGGTGTTATTGATCCGGACATCCCGCTTTCTTTATTACCCCCTCCCCTCTCCTCCAGGTCACTGACTTATCCACTGTTGCCACTGTGTCACCCCACAACCAAGCATCATTTTTCTGCCATTCACCCCGTCAATGTCAAACACTCGACTCCATCATTAAATGCCCCCCTTGCCCCCCTTTTCATATTTGGACTCTGCCCCAAAACAAAGTGCCAACCCCGAGCCTCCGCGGACACCATGACGTCACCGGCGGAGCAGTGAAGTAAAACAATCAACCCCTCACTCCTCTTCCTCTTGCTCCGCGACCGACCGACCGACCGACCGCCCGCCTGCCTCATCTGTGGCGTCTACAAACCCCACAGACTCAGTTGACAGACGCCAGCCCGGAGCTGCATTGTTGTGTGTCTGTCTCCGTCTCCTGTCCTAGCGCAGAGGGTTGCCACCGCTCGTCCACAGCACAGCCCCCCGGTACACGGTAAAAGAAGAAGAAGAAGAAGCCTGGTAGCCAGTTTATCTTGTGTCCGATAACAGGAAGAAAAAAAGAAATAAAAAATAAGCATGTCTGCTCAGCCCGGTGAGGAGCTAGGCTCGGAGGGGAGGTGGTTTGGGGATGACTATGAGAGGAACGGCCTCTTTGGGAACACACCGACCCGTTTCGGCGAGTTACGTGACGAATTTAAGCCGAGAGGTGGCGAGGTGTCGGGCGACCTGGATCAACAATTTCATCCTTTCCAGGACGACGGGAAAAGGCCTCCCGTTGCTATGGAAACTGCATCTACAGGTAAAGCGGGCAGTTTATCGCAATTTAAGTCTCGATATTTGACCAATTTGTAGTGTTTTTCAGCCACGTTTGGTTCAATGTTTGTCAGCTATTATTATACACACACACATCGGCGTTTAGGTGTAAATACAGCGAGAGAGAGAGAGAGAGAGAGACAGACAGGGTATTTTGTCACAGATCTAGCGTTACGACAGACGGCCTGTCTGGCGGCTGAGTTAAAACTTCTGGGCTTGAAAACACAGAAACAAAGATGCTAGCGAGTATAGGTTGCTAGTAAATCAGCTGGCACAAGAGTGGTGTGGAAGGGAGTCGGATGAGACATCTTCAAAACTCAGTCACACTTGATCCCAGCTTTATCCTTTTATGTAGTTATGAAACATCCAATATGATCCATTGTCTGTAGAGAGGATGCAGCAGTAAGAGATAGCCTGTTGAACTTTGAATGGCCTATGTACGTTCACACATGTAGGCAAATATAATAAAACACCTGCATTCTGGATATGGTGAGGTTGAGGGATGATACATAGATTACAGGTCTAAGCTCTAGCTTGCACTGGGTAGAAAATAATTAAAATCCTACAGTTTATCAGCAGACTTAACCAAAAGATTTAACCAGTCCTGTTGTAACAAGTAGCCTGTATGATGACAGGATTCCCACATTCCTGTTCTGGTATACTGTTGATGATATAGTTACAATGCTGGATGCTGGAGGCAGTGTTTTTGTGGGAACATCATGCAGACCTCAGTTCTTAGTCCGTCACTCTCTTCAGCACAGCTCGACTCATGCTGCTATTTTTAATCCTGAAGGAGCAGGGCTCACTATTCGCTTGGCGAGCAAAACTAGAGCCCTGCACTTTCATTCACGAATTCACTGAAAAATTCATGAGATGATGTTTGAAAAAAAAAAAAAAAGAAAAAGAAAACACCGCCTAGTTTCCTCTCTTTGGTGCTCAGGCCTTTCTCATTTTGCTCTCTGCTGCTGCTCCAAAACAAGAAATAGAGATAAAACATGTCTTTTTTTTTTGTATATCCGTTAAGTACAGTGCATTATTAAATGCTTTGAATAAATTAGACTTTAATCCGTTAAAAAGCACAGAATTTGGCATTAAAGTAGAACTTTAATATTTAAAGCTAAAAATGTTGCAATAGAAAAAAGGCATTGCAAAATTTACATAACCTAGGAAAGTCAAAAAATTATCCTCTTGAAGCAGACCAACTGTAAAATATGTTAAATGATAAACTGTCTAGTCAATGTTTGGCCTCGCTTTCTACCAAAAAACAAAACAAACAAAGCAGTGCCAGACAAGCTCAAACTTGTACACAAACACAGATTATGTTTTGATGCCTTAAAGAGGAAAGGATGGCGGTCTCATATTGCTATGACTCCAGCCAATGTCCATACCACTGAAGTAATCCACTCTGTCACTTATGTTCTTGGTGGGAACAGTGCAGATCTCATCACATCTAGCAGGGCAGAGTGGACATTTTCCTCTTGACCAGGCATGTTATAGTCTGTTCTGATCATTGTCAAAGACATATTCACTCCCAACACAATAACACCCTCTTAAACACACCTTCCGTCTCTTATAACAGTTTAAGTTTAAGAAACTTAAAGATTTTTTTACTCAGGCCAAATAAGAAGTTTGGCCTTTGAAGAGTACGAACTGTGAAATAGTAGCTCTTCAAGATGTCTAGAATTGCCTCGCTAAGTAATCGATCCATGCCTGTCCTAAATCTTGTTCACAACAGTGATCTACCCACAGGACGCCGATAATGCTGATTTCAGCTGTATTAAATTACCACAGGGCAGAACCCTAGCCTTAGATCACAGAGAGTACAGTGTATTATAGCCTCTTTCAACATCAAAAGTTTTCCCATCCTGAGAAAGAAAGTTTTGGAAGATATTGCTGCATCATGACAGTTCTAAGTGTGCTGTGAAAATCCCAGAGTCGAGTTTGTTTTTAGCTCATGGTGTATCTGCTAGCCTCCCCTGCTCTCTGGCATAGAAAAAAACAACAACTAAGTGCATGTTGTACACAAACAGTGGCACCTCATTTTGACATCATCCTTTTTCCAACGAGCTCTTTGTAGCTCATTACAGTGCAATATAATGGTCACTTTATCATGTTCTGACAAAGTGCATCAGTCATGAGAAAGAGAAGAAAGGCGGATTAGACTCAAGTCTTTCTCTGTTTCAGCATATCATCAGTGGCAAGGATGAGACAGCATATGTCTGGCTCGGTCTTTCCCATATCTTTCGGGTAGAGAAAGCACTTAGTGGACTCGGCTGGACTGCATAAGCCAGCACAGTGCATTTGTGCCTTTAGCTGGTGAGAGCTCTGCTCCTGTTCCCAGGGGGGCAAGCAGTGCTACGTCTTTTCAGACTGGATGATAAAGATGCAAGATAATACAGGGGTGGAGGAGGAGGAGGAGGAGGAGGAGGAGGCGGGGGGGGGGGGGCAGCTTAATGGCAAGAGAGGCGAGGCTGTGATGAGAAGGCCGATAGTTCATACGGCTAGACTGTCAGGGGGAGAAACTGGAAATACAAAGAACTGTCATTTCTTCCTTCACCTTTTTATTCAGTATCTTCCAGATGTCAGTGGTCAGCAGAGCAGCTCCCGATGTGAGCCAGGGTCTACTTCCATTAGCTTGTGGTTAAAAATGTGTTGTCCTAGCACCTTACATAATTAAATAGAGCTTAAAGTGTGTACAATATATACTACTGTGTCTGCTCTCCCGAATGATTGGATCCTAAGTGCTCATCCTGTGCGTTACCTGCCAGGTTTCCAATCTCATTCATCTTCATCTGTCTCCAGGAGCAATTAGCTAATGCTGAGGGATAAAAGGACAGATAAAAGCATGACAGACCAAGCCAAAAAATATCCACTGCAGGGGACAGTAACAAAGCATTACTGCTATCATCACATCTATAAATCATAATTTCTCACATACTTTGATCCCCTGTGTTTACCCTGAAAACAATTAATGGCCAACATGTGAAATATGACGCTATGTTTACGATCCTGATGCCTCTGTCCAGCTCTCCAGCCTGTGGGCACAGAGTAATCCCTGAGCTCAGGGGATTAGAGCTACTATCAGCAGAGACACTTAAAACAGCGTAGTCCATCAAAATTGTTTGTAGGTTATTGTAGCCTGCACCTTCCTGCCAGCGTCTGTACTCCATAATGCCAAAATCTGTATGCACAATGAAAGTGAAATGCCAATCCAAAGTCACACTGAATTGACAGCTTTGACCCAAAGCAGACAGCTTGCAGACACTTCCTCCCACATCCTCTCCATTCATCCATAAAGCTCTATCCAAGCAAGAAAAATACGATCAATACAGTGGAAAACAGGTACTGTACGTACCGCGGCTTCAGAATCTGAATGGGGACAGATTAGCTTTTATTTAAACTGGCTCTACATTGATTTATCTTTGACAAAGGCTGCTGGAACAACAACATTTATCCTGTGTGGCGTTCAGTGATTTTTTTTTTGAAGAGTGGTGGATACACTGATGTTTCTTACAGTAATTGCATGTCCTCATTGTCTTGGATCAATGCATCTCAGAACAGTTGAATCCCTCAGCACAGCTGTTCCCCAATCGACTCCTGCTAGTAGTTTTGTGGTACCTCAGCTCTTAGTATAGACCTTCTTTGTGCTCTCCATTATGTACTTCTTCACCAACATTAAAGTGGGATAGTTAGTGACTAGTATTCATGTATTTGTTCAGCCAAGGAATACATTATGAACAGAAAAGTTAGAACCAAAGCTTTTAAATACAGAGACTATTAAGAGTCAGAGCGGTACTTCAGTTAAACTGTGACAAATACATTAAGTAAGGGACTTAATAAACAAATCTGGCAGGCTACCACCCTCCAATAGAATCGTATGGTGAATCACTGTGATTCAGTTTTGTTGATTAATAATAAAAGTGAACTACTAAAAGTTCTTCATAAGTTAGTTTTATTGTCAACATCAGTTTGATTATTAAGAATATTATTTACATACATTATCATATATTATTGCAAGTAAGTGTAACATAAATAAGTAAACGTTTCATAATATGTACACAGCCACGTCTTTGTGCATCATCCATGTTTACGAAATCTACTTCTGTTTTTATCTTTTAAACAGTTCCCAGTAAACAGGACAGTTTATATAGCGGACATATAATATAAGCTACAGTACATTATTTAAAGGCACAGATGGCTTTGAAAGAAGAGCACAGAAAGCGTCTTGATGGATTGGTTTCCACAAGGTCATGGAGTGAAAGAGATCTCATGAAAGGTAACACCACAGTCCAGAGGGTCACAGATGGAATAATGGAGTCACAGTGCAGTAGAGTAACAGACGTTTAAAAGTAAAGATGAATTACTTTTGTAATGAATGATGCTCTGTGCTTGGACGACACAGACTTGTTGTTGTGAACCAGCAGCATCTCCTCTGTCTGTGCACTGGACTGCTGCCTGCGTGAAGCG